AACACGGTGAACATGGCTTGCTGAAATTCCCAAGACACCAGAAACTCTCCTAACACTTGTGGTGGGATCTCTATCAAACTCACGCAGAATCATACGGGTAAATCTGCGCTGACGAATATTTATATTTTGATCCCTTTGGAGATTTCCAAAACCATTTTCAATTATTTGGCGATGCACTCTTACAAATACTGAGCGAGTTGGATGTCGTCTGTTTGGAAATCTTCGTGCGTATTCTCTGGCTGCTTCTGCTGCGTTTCCATTTACAAAGCCATACACAAAATGAATATCCGCTAACTCTTGATTGGAGAATAAAAATGGCATTTTTATAAAACTTACAGAAAAAAAACAGGTAAAAGAAACTAAATTTCGTGCATTCACAATTGCAAAAAAACGTTTCAGGTTTGAACAGACAACAAAACTAACTGTAAACTAATTGACGTTTAACCTTATTCTGCTTTCAATTTCAAAATTGTTTGCAGGCACAGCCTACTTCTAAAAATTATCGAGATACTGACTTTTTAACGTTATTTTATCATAAATAATTAAAAATGCATCGAACCTTAAAAATCGAAATATCGCAAAAACGGCTAACTATAACGAAAATTCACAAGAGAGCTTTTTTATGTTGAAAAGTGCGAAGAATCAGTTTTTTTATTCAAAAAGCAAAAAATTGCACTAAGAAAAAATTTTCGGTCATTTTAATACACTACAGGTATAGTAGAGAGCGCCCTCTAGCGGCTACAGTAAAACTATACCCATGGTTCGTTTTTTCGTACCAAAGAACCCATGTATACCAATTTTCAATATTATATATCAAATATTGTTCGAAATATTTAAAAAAAACTATTTTAGAAAGTAAATTTAAACTCCCTGTATTTCGGAAGCCACGCATTTTTCGACCCATGTTTATATAGACTTTATGCATTAATTTTAAAAGTTCTATCGAATCTGAAAGTTATGCAACAATAAACTGAAACACCCTCTATAACAAAAATCAGAACATTGCCAATTATTGCATTTATTTTTATCTGTGATATAAAACTTATATCTACAATATATTTTAACAAATATGTTTTTATAACTTGTAATTATTTAATTAGGCTTATCCAGCTTTACAAATTCCGGAAACAAAGCTGAATAAGGAAAATACAATCTGATGAAATGAGCACTGCCCTATTTACAGTAACTAATGGAGCTTTCTTTTTCCGATAACGGATAAGAGGATTGTCTCGTTACCGCACAAAATCGAGGACGGTTTGCCACTAAACGGACAGTTGATTTTATTTTGCGTTTGTATTTTCTGGAACCTGAAAAACATAAGCAAAAATGAAACAAAACCCAAACCTCTTGTTTTCATCAAGCTAGCGACATTTCGTTCGAGTTTTGTTTTTGATTTCGGTCCGTTTCCACTGGTTGACGCGAGGAAGCGAAAGAATACTTTTTCTTCAATAACCAACCATCATGTTTATAGGAGAAGCTTTTTTATTCTTAGTTAAAGCTGATTGATACTTGACCTTGAGAACAAGTAAGTATATATATATATATATACTAAGTGACATATAAATCCGAACACCCAGTTTCAATGGTTTTATTTTAATAAAATTTTCTATAAGTACTTAATGAAGCATAATAAGTAAACGATAAAAATTTAAAAATGATTGCACTGCTTTAAAGCCCTTTGACCTTTAATAATGTGTGGATGCACCCTGATGTGCTACGCATTCTCCAACGCGCCTAGGCATGCTTCTGATCAGGTGGTCAATGTCCTCCTGTGGTATCTCAGTCCAGGCAACCACCAACTACTCTCGAAGTGTTTCTAGAGTCTGAGGAGGACGTTGCAAATTGAGCAATCTCCTACCCATCATATCCCACACGTGCTTAATTGGGGATAAGTCGGGAGATCTTGGTGGCCATGGTAACAATGTGACATCATTATGTTGAAAGAAGTCTGTTGTGACTCTTGCAACATGTGGTCGGGCATTATGTTGTTGGAAAGTTGGATCTGCCAGGGTGTCAAGATAGGGGAAAAGATGGGGTTCTAGAACTTCGTGGATATAACGCTGCGCGTTCATGTTACCTCTGATGAAGATTACAGGTGACCTGGAACCATAAGCTATAGCACCCCAAACCATAACTCCAACAGTGTGATGAACATGTCTTTCAACAAAAAACTGTGGATTCCTCCTTTCACCACGTCGCCTTCTAACCCTGGCACGACCATCGTGCATGCCTAAACAAAATCGAGACTCGTCACTAAAGACAATACTGTTCCATTCCTGATCCCAGAGTGACCGTTGTCTGCACCACTCAAGGCGATTACGTCGGTGTTCTCGAGTTAAAGGGAGGACCCAGTGTGGCCGGTATGAAAACAAGCCAAAACTTCTCATTCGTCGGTAAACACTTCGCATGCCAATAGGTCTTCCATGTTCTGCAAACCATTCATTTGTAATGGACCTGGTAGTGGAGAAACGGTCCCTTAAGGCCAATAATCTTTGGCGGCGATCTTCACGGTCTGTTGTTCTACGGCGGCGTCCAGTGCCCCTTGCTCTTTGCGTACGGCCTTCTCGAAGCCATGCCTGACAACACCTAACCACAGTGTCTACACTTCTTTGCACTCTAACTGCAATTGCCCGAAAAGAAAGTCCAGCTTCCCGAAGTCCCACTATACGGCCCCTATCAAACTCACTAAGTTGACGAAATCGTACAGGTCTCCGTACTCTAGGCATCGTAACCGATCGTAAAGGATGTCAAGAACCAAAATCCGCCAACGTTGATTCTTTACTGCGGCTGAAATATTCATTTTTAGAGCGTTAGTGAATTTAAAAAAAGCAGTATAAAAACCGGAATGTCCAACTGATAAGGCTGAAAATTTTTTCACTTGTTATTTACAGTAAGATAAATACATTCACCAACTTTTATTAAAATAAAACCATTTAAACTGGGTGTTCGGATTTATATGTCACTTAGTATATCTACGGTGTCTATAATAAACTAGCTGTGTCTGTAACTACTCGTATACGTGCCTATAATAAACAAAAACACGTGTTTTTTAAATACCACAGTGTTTGTAACGACAAAAGTATGGGAACATTTCAGTTTTGCCGTATTTATTCGTTTTGCGATACTCTGATATTGCGTGAGGTAAAAAGATTTTCAAAAGATTTAAGAGACAAAGTGATTGAATTATTTAGAAGTGGTGTCAGAAATGTTAACTTTTCTCAAAGATTAAAAATGAAAAAAGGAACGATTTCGAAAATTATAAGTAAATATCAACCGCAATGCGGCCCAGGTGCGGAATACCGAATACCGATTATGTTTTGGATCGCTACATAAACTTTGTCTCATGAAGATCCGCGTATGTCAGCCACACAGATTTTCAAAAGAATCGTAGAAGAGGGTGCCGAGAATCTTTCTGAAGAAATGCTTGGTGGATTTTGGTAGGCGTCCAGTTTTCAAAAAAAAAAATCGGTTTGCTCGGTTTGAATTTGTTAAAACTCATCTAACTCGGACAAAACAACAATGGAATACAGTTTTGTGGTGTGATTAAAGCAAATTTTAGCTTAAAAAGATTCGAAAAAACACAGTCGAGGCAACATTATGGTTTGGGGCTGTTTTTCTAGTTCTGGAATGGGTCCAATTGTTAAAATTGTTGGGAAACTGGAACAAAAATAGTCTTTGTGAACACATCCTTCCTTTTGCTGAAGAAGAAATGCCTCTACGATGGACATTTTAGCAGGATAATGACCCCAAGCATACCTCAAAGTTTGTAAAAGACTGGTAAAAACTAAAGAATGTTAATGTTCGTACATGGCCTACGCAATTCCCGGACCTAAAGATCTCTGGGATCATGTTAAAAGACAATTGACAAGAAAAACTTTAAAAAATAGGGACGATTATTTATTTGATTATGTAAAAAATATTTAGCAAAATATCCCAACAGACGTCTGTAAAAGATTGGTGACTTGAGCAGCACCAGATGTCAGGCAGTGTTGAATGCTAAAGGCCATGCTATCAAATATTAGCTAAACAGTGTATTTAAATCTTTTTGTAGAGTTATTGTATTTAATTTTGTAATAAAAAATATGTTTCCTTACTTTTGCCGTCTCACTTTTGGTCATAAAATAATATGAAGGTATCTTACTGCTAGTCTGTAGTTTCTCGGCGAATACAAATCGTCATTTGTATCTTCAAGACTGTAAGCAAACTATCTGAGAAAAAAATAGTCCTTAATAATGAAGAATAAAGAAATTAGCGCACTTTTTAAAAATTACTAAGAGTGTTTCCAAACTTTTGTACGCTACTGTATATATTTATCAGTGATCAAAATAGCATTATTTTTTAGGAGAAGAAGAAGACGCCAACATAAATATTGGGCTCGATCACATTTATCCTACAAGAGTAAACAATGGTGCTACACATTTGATGAATGATATCCAAAATGATGACGGAGAATATCGCACACTATTTCAATTTTCTGAGATTTTCTAACTCTGATTTTGAAGAGCTAATTACTTTGATTGGCAGAAAAATTAAACACCGATTCATTTCTTATAAAGACCGATTAACAGTAACACCGAAGTTTCTTGCTACTGGGGCAGCTTAATGTACTTAAAAATTTATCCAGCCTCATAAAACAAACTTCTTATATATAAAAAGACGTTATTTACTCATCTACTAATTTGGAACAAAATTCGTATTCAGACTAGCAAGGCGAACATAGAAAACACAACACGCCCATTTCTACCAAACAGACTCGAGTTCCAAAACATGTCGAAACCTTTTGATGAGATCGAAAAGCAACAAATTTTGCGAAAAGTTACAGTTTTGTTTTATTGATACGAATTTGTGTTTTTTCTTTGTTTTGTCCGTTTAGTAGAAAACCGCACATAACGAAGCAGTAAAACAAAATCACCAACAACTCTATCATTTCACTGTACAAACTCAACACTAAAGTGCAAATCATCCTTGAAGTGCAGGGTAACAACGCGTATAGTACTCACCATGATGCTGGTCCTCACTTGCGTTACACTTACGTGAAAGACCACCGACAAATGAAGCGGCCATTTCCAATTGGCGCGAATTTAAGCAGCTTTCCTACGCAGAAACGGTGAATGTGTTGCATAGTCGTACCCTTCCACTTCTTCTCCAATGGTACTGCTCCCAATAGGAAGAAGAGTCGATGTGTGACTGCGGAAATGAAGGCACGCGCCCATTCCACGAATACTACTTATCATCGCCAGGTAATTAGCGCTCGATGATCTTCGCAATTTTTTCTATTTGCACCGCAGGAGGTGAGGTGGAGGTACACGAATATACAGGGTGTCTAATGTTGTTATTAGTCTAAGAAATACTAAAGAAATCGCTGACTGAATGGTGTGCAGCAGAGCTTACTCCAGTTATTTTGCGTCTCTTTCAGATATCTTACGAATCCGGTACCTTTCCAGAAGACCGGAAATTCGCTCATGTCCAGCCCATCGCAAAAAAGGGATCTAGCTCTGCTTTTTGTTATAAGTAAAGCAACAGGGAGTTTGGTTTCCGGCACCAGCAATCCACAGGGGACCTCCTACCTCCACGCGATTGTGGAGTAAACTCATCCAGTTTTATGGTGAGGCTCATGTCGTTGCTCTAAAGTGTTCGATAACCTGTGGCATACTGTCCTCTTGAGCAAACTTCCATCCTATGGCATCTCAGAGAAGCTTTGCACATGGATGGCAGTCGTAATAACGTCAACGCGGGTGTTCCCCAGGGATCGGTCTTGGCTAAGACACTGTTTCTTTTACATATCAACGACCTCCTTTCCAGTACGATCAATGCAATGCTGATGACAGCACTCTACACGCAGGGATTCAGAGCGACAAGCCGATCTTTGCTGGTGAGCTGGAAAAAAGAAGACTATCAGTGACTTCCTCTGTGAAGAGAGACCTGGAGGTTACCACTTCTTGGGGACGCAACAATCTTGCACAGTTTAATGCTTCCAAAACACAGTACTGTATATCGACGAACAAAAAGCGTCTTAGCGCTCATTCGGTTTGGATGGATGGTCGAGTTCTGCCAAAGAGCCATTTATTTCGGCTCCAGATCACAGAGGCAGCTGCTAGGAAAAACTAGGCTACTTGTTTAGGGCTACAAGGTACCGTCCTCCACAAGGGACTGAATACTCAATGAAACAAGAAGTGAAATGAAATAAATCAAAATTACCTCGCAGTTGTCGAGGTAAAAGCCCAATGTTGAGGTACATGCTTTTTCGCAACGCCGATGACTATGACAAGATTTTACTAAAATTTTCAGAACTAGTTGATGGTAAATGGATCCAAAACAAAGTATGTATATAGTTTTCTATAAAAGGCCAACACTCACGCTAAACAGTACAACCGTAGAGGAGGTAGAAGGCCACAAGTTTCTGGGTCTCTACATGGACGAAATACTTTCTTCCCTAGTTCATAGAGTATGTGGCTAGTAAGTAGTAGTAGCCTTGGCTTACTGTGCATTAAAAAACCTACGGGGACTAGTTAGTCGTAGGTATCTCCTAGATTCTTATTTGCAATGACACACTGTCACATGAGGGACTTGATTAGATACTTTGCATTTATTTCATTCTACGAAAGAGGCTGATTAAATTTGCCTTTGGTCGCAATCCACTGGACAGCTATATACCAGTATTTAAAGACAATAAACCGTTAATATTGATCTACGAGTCATGCGTATTTGTTAAAGAAATTACAGATTTATTCCCCAGCGCAGTGAGACTCCTATATTACTAGATATATACTAAGTGACATATAAATCCGAACACCCAGTTTAAATGGTTTTATTTTAATAAAAAATGGTGAATGTATTTATCTTACTGTAAATAACAAGTGAAAAAATTTTCAGCCTTATCAGTTGGACATTCCGGTTTTTATACTGCTTTTTTTTAATTCACTAACGCTCAAAAAATGAATATTTCAGCCGCAGTAAAGAATCAACGTTGGCGGATTTTGGTTCTTGACATCCTTTACGATCGGTTACAATGCCTAGAGTACGGAGACCTGTACGATTTCGTTAACTTAGTGAGTTTGATAGGGGCCGTATAGTGGGACTTCGGGAAGCTGGACTTTCTTTCGGGCAATTGCAGTTAGAGTGCAAAGAAGTGTAGACACTGTGGTTAGGCGTTGTCAGGCATGGCTTCGAGAAGGCCGTACGCAAAGAGCAAGGGGCACTGGACGCCGCCGTAGAACAACAGACCGTGAAGATCGCCGCCTCAGATTATTGGCCTTAAGGGACCGTTTCTCCACTACCAGGTCCATTGCAAATGAATGGTTTGCAGAACACGGAAGACCTATTGGCATGCGAAGTGTTTACCGACGAATGAGAAGTTTTGGCTTGTTTTCATACCGGCCACACTGGGTCCTCCCTTTAACTCGAGAACACCGACGTAATCGCCTTGAGTGGTGCAGACAACGGTCACTCTGGGATCAGGAATGGAACAGTATTGTCTTTAGTGACGAGTCTCGATTTTGTTTAGGCATGCACGATGGTCGTGCCAGAGTTAGAAGGCGACGTGGTGAAAGGAGGAATCCACAGTTTTTTGTTGAAAGACATGTTCATCACACTGTTGGAGTTATGGTTTGGGGTGCTATAGCTGATGGTCCAGGTCACCTTTAATCTTCATCAGAGGTAACATGAACGCGCAGCGTTATATCCACGAAGTTCTAGAACCCCATCTTTTACCCTATCTTGACACCCTGGCAGATCCAACTTTGCAACAAGATAATGCCCGACCAGATGTTGCAAGAGTCACAATAGACTTCTTTCAACATAATGATGTCACATTGTTACCATGGCCACCAAGATCTCCCGACTTATCCCCAATTGAGCACGTGTGGGATATGACGGGTAGGAGATTGCTCAATTTGCAACGTCCTCCTCAGACTCTAGAAGCACTTCGAGAGGAGTTGGTGGTTGCCTGGAATGAGATACCACAGGAGGACATTGATCACCTGATCAGAAGCATGCCTAGGCGCGTTGGAGAATGCGTAGCACATCAGGGTTCATCCACACATTATTAAAGGTCAAAGGGCTTTAAAGCAGTGCAATCATTTTGAAATTTTTATCATTTACTTATTATGCTTCATTAAGTACTTATACAAAATTTTATTAAAATAAAACCATTTAAACTGGGTGTTCGGATTTATATGTCACTTAGTATAATAAATACATTCATATTAAAATTTATGTAGTTCCATGCATAATAAACTACCTAGATATTAAGCAAATTATCAGCTTATCTTTGTTTGAAAGGAAAGATATAACCCTTTGGCTAAATAAGGCATTTTGTAGTTCAAATGAGTTTTTGTGCAAGTAACTCGTTATTCTTATACGGACTGTAAGAAAAGCTTGGAACGCATCAAATACCTGTATATGACGAATGACGATTTAATTTAAAAAAAATAAAGTTTAGGTTAGAAACCATGGCAGATCCGTTGATATTCGCGATGTTGCCAAATCTACAGTTTTTCAGAACTTAGCAACTTTTGTTTTTCTTATCGAATGCTATATATTTTATTGATATTAGTTTTCTGCGAAAAATCCTTTATACTTTTATTAAACATACTTTGACGTAGACCTCATAGTTTACAAAATAACAATAAAAGGTATGAACGATATGGAAAGTAATTTTCTGTCACTTCTGACATTGAAAAGTCCATTGAGCTTTGTTAGCAGAGTTGATAAAAATATGATTTCTTTCATTAAAACCAAAAGGATACAAATTCTAATATTGATTAAAATAATGCATTTGATATTCCAATGAGACAAGAGAAAAATTAAACATAAAGTTGTTAATTTAAACCTCGAAACAATATAAAATCATATTAAATGTTTAAATTGCCGTCCCTATACTTCTTGGCAATAAGTTAGATATTGCGGAAATGCGTTTAGAACATTTTGAAGACATACGCTTCTCTGAAAAAAATACCTATTATTGTTTAAATATTATGTTTGTCCGCGAATATTTCCAAGACTATGAGGTCTACGTCATAGTATGTTTAATAAAAAGTATTGAGAATTTCTCGCACAATACAAATATAGAATAAAATGTATAGCACTCCATAAAAAAAACAAAAGTTGCAATGCTCTGAAAAACAGTAGATTTGGCAACATCGCGGATATCATCAATGGATCCGTGGTTTCGAACCAAAGCCTACCTTTTTAAAAAAGATGAGTTATTCGTCAGATATTCGATGCGTTCCAAACTTTTGTTACAGTCCATACGTGTTTCTGCATCCCAATTTTTTCATGTAATGTATTGGTAATGTGGATAAAAATATTTGGCAATTTTAGAAGAATCGCTTTTACCAGTGATGGAAGAATGTTTGACAACCGGCCAAGATTTTGTGTTTCAGAAAGATGGTGCAGCGTGCCATACCTCAAAAAAGGATATAAAATGGATCGAAGAAAATGAAGAAGAAAAACTTTTGAAATGGGTTTCTATTGAAACTTTGTGCCACGAGATGAAAAAGGTTCTACGACAACATCCTGCTCGTACAATCACTGAACTGAGACAAAATCTTCAAGAAATATGGGATTGTTTTACACAAAATTTTTGCCAAAACTTGGTTAACACTATGCCCCAAAGAATTTCAGCCGCAATAAAAAATAAAGGTGATGATACCCAATGGTAATCTTTCAATTGTTGCTTTGTTAACTTCGCGCATTTATTCGCACATTGTTTATTTGTTCAGATGTTCTATTAGTTATAGGTCTAAGTAATTTCAAATATGTTTTTACGACTAGAGTGTATCTAAAATGTTTTTGAGAAAATAAATTGTTTTAGGAGTAAATAGTTTCGTCATGTTTGGTTTATAAAGGCATATTTTGGTACAAATCTTGAAGTGGGCCAACTGAATTCGGAAGGGGCTCGTACTTATGGCAATTATAGACTAAGTGACATATAAATCCGAACACCCAGTTTAAATGGTTTTATTTTAATAAAATTTTGTGTAAGTACTTAATGAAGCATAATAAGTAAATGATAAAAATTTCAAAGTGATTGCACTGCTTTAAAGCCCTTTGACCTTTAATAATGTGTGGATGCACCCTGATGTGCTACGCATTCTCCAACGCGCCTAGGCATGCTTCTGATCAGGTGGTCAATGTCCTCCTGTAGTATCTCCTTCCAGGCAACCACCAACTCCTCTCGAAGTGCTT